CAGTCAAAAACAACCATCTAACTATTCTAATCCCATTTTCCAGCACTTGGCCTATAGCCTTGTGTGCCTTGGCAATTCTAAAGAGCCATAGAGTCATACAGCACAGAAATAGATCCTTCAGTCCGGTCAGTCCACACTGAACATAATCCCAAACTAAACTAGTCCCACCTGGCTGCTCCTGGCCCATATCCCTTCCAGACCTTTCCTATTCATGTACTTATCCAAACATCTTTTAAAAGTAATTTTACCAACATCCACCACTTCCGCAGGAAGTTCTTAAATGTTAATGAGAGTTTCTACCTCTACCACCCTCATAGACAGTGAGTGCCAGATTCCCACCACCCTTTGGGTGAAAGGGTTTTTCCTCATATCTCCTTTAAAGCTTCTGCCCTTTACCTTAAATCTATGTCCCCCTTTTCATTGATCACTACAAGGGTAAATGTCTATTTTTGTCGACTCTATCAATGCCCTTCATCATTTTATACATCTCAATCGTGTCCCCTCTCAATCTCATCCGCTGTAAGGAGATCAATGCCAGTCTGTACAATCTCTCTTCATAACTGAAACTCTGCAGCCCAGGCAACATCCCTAAAAATCTCCTCTGCACCCTATCGTATCCCTCCTATAATATGGATTCCAGACCTGCACACAATACTCCACCTGTGACTTAACCAACATTTATATAATTCCAGCATAACATCCCTGTTCTTAAACTCTATGCCTTGCTAGTATACCATATGCCTTCTTAACCACTTTATCCACCTGCCCTGATACCTTAAGGGACTGGTGTATATGCAGACCAAGGTCCCTCTGGTCCTCATTGCTTCACAGGATCCTACTGTTTAAGTATATTTTCTTGCCATCTTTGTCCTGCCCATGGGCATCACCTCATATCTGGATTGAATTCCATTTGCACTGATCAGCCCATATGACCAGCCAATTTATATCCTCTAGTAAGCTAAGGATGTCCTCCTCACTAATTATCACCCCACCGGTTTTTGTATCATCTGCAAACTTATGATTAACCCTCTTACATTCAAGTCTAAATCATTTAAGTAAACCACAAACAGCAACAGTCCCTCTGTGGGACTCCACTGGACACTCTACCAATCAGAAGAACAGTCCTCAACTATCACTCTTTGCTTCCTGCTACTCAGCCAATTGTGGATTCAATTTGTGAAATTTCCTTGCATCCCATGTGCATTGACCATATCAGTCTCCCATGTGAGACCGTACCAGAAGTCTTGCTGAAGTCCAAGTAGACTACACAAGCAATCTCAGGTGTCCAGCTGGCAGGCTAGGTTAAAATGACACCCTTAAACTTTTCTTGCCTGCTTGAAAGAGTAGTTTTGATCCTCCTGGCTGAAAAATAGAAGTTTTTATTTTATGTAGCTGCATCTCATTTAATTGGTGAGCGAGATCAAAGCACTCAGCTCATTCTGAAGGACATAAAAAAGCCATTTAGCCCATTATGCCCATGCTAAAAGCTCAAAGGTGTGTCCTCACACTTCCCCTATGCCCCCATTAATTTTTACTTCCATTCATTTTCTGAAAGTTAGTACCACTATTCCCTCTTTGAATCTGCTTTGCTTCTTTGGTTCAACCACATTTGAAATACTGCATACAGTTCTGGTCGCCACATTACCAAAAGGATGTGAATGCTTTAGAGAGGGTGCAGAGGAGGTTCACCAGGATGTTGCCTGGTATGGAGGGCGCCAGCTATGAAGAGAGGTTGAGTAGGGTTAGGATTATTAGAAAGACGGAGGTTGAGGGGGGACCTGATTGAGGTCTACAAAATCATGAGAGGTATAGACAGGGTGGATAGCAAGAAGCTTTTTCCCAGAGTGGGGGACTCAGTTACTAGGGGTCACAATTTCAAGGTGAGAGGGGAAAAGTTTAAGGGAGGTATGCATGGAAAGTTCTTTACGCAGAGGGTGGTGGGTGCTTGGAATGCGTTGCCAGCAGAGGTGGGCATGATAGTGTCATTTAAGATGTATCTAGACAGATACATGAATGGGCAGGGAGCAGAGGGATACAGATCCTTGGAAAATAGGCGACAGGTTTAGATAGAGGATCTGGATTGGCGCAAGCTTGGAGGGCTGAAGGGCCTGTTCCTGTGCTGCAATTTTCTTTGTTTTTTTGTTCTTTGTTCTATTCTTCTGTCCATTGCATTTCAGATCATCTCCTCATTCCACTGTGACTCTTTTATAAATTACTTTAAATCTGTGTCTCCTGAATACCAATTAATTTGTGAAACAGTTGTTTATGTAATTCATTCTGACCACTATTACAGAGCATGTAATTTTAAGTCAGGGGTGTGATGCAATACTCCCCACTTTCCTGGATGAATACAAATCCAGCAACACTCAAGATTTATGCCATCCAGGACAAAGCAACCTACTTGATTGGCACCACATCCACAAACATTCAGTCCCTCTACCACCAACACACAGTAACAGCATTGTGTACCGTCTATGAGATGCTGCAGAAATTCATCGAGGCTGCTGACACAGCACTTCCAAACAACCAGTGCCATTTAGAAGAGCAAGGGCAGCAGATACTTGGGTATACTGCTGCCCGCAAGTTCCCCTCCAAGTCACTCACCATCCTGACTTGGAAATATATCACTATTCCTTTAGTGTCACTGGGTCAAAATCATGGACTGTACCTCCTTCATAAGCACACATATGTAAACGCACACATTGCACCTGCACCAAATGGATTGTAGCAGTTAGAGAAGCTCACAAGGACAACTAGGGATAAGCAGTAAATGCTGGCCCAGTCTATAAAGCCCACCTTCCACAAATGAATAAAATCTTCTTATGGGCCCACAAAACCGATATTTGCAAAGGTTCTGCTTGCTTCTATCATCCATGGAATTGATTGTAACCTGCATTACACAGGCTTTAATCACTCTGACCTAAAATGGCCTCGGGGCAATTTTTATATGAGAGGACCTAAATTCAATATATCGAGCCTGAAATAGGCAGACGCTTCAGACATCCAACAGTAAGTGTCTTTCAAAATAGATCTTACAGTGTCACAGGCATAATGGGCTAGTAGCCCTGACAGCACGTTTTGAGCTTTATTCCCACTGAAGGCTGATAAAATCAGTGCCTACGGGCTGGATTGTAAATTACCAGCACAATCAGGATTGCTTGTAAGCAAATCGCTTGAAAATCATGTTTCTGTAGAATGGATTTAGATTTGATGCTTTGAAGACATGCTCCAGTTTTAAAAGGCGTGGGGGGTGGGTTATGTGGGAATTAGGGAACCCATTGCTTCCAGTTATGTGCCTAACTCCTTCATGTGCCAAACTCCTTTAGGAGTTTGTTAAAAAGCAGGGAGGTTGGAACAATGATTCTCAAGTGGGGTTTCGCCAAACCTGAACAGTCTGGTATACATTAGCGCACAGGTTTCAGAGCAGGGCAAAGTGTAAGTTTTTGTTATACAGTAAGAAGTATCAGGACTTGGTGATTTTTGCACTGAACACTCTGAGTACCTCTGATTTGAATGTATATATACATTCTCAAACTTCTATACTATGGGGCATCTAAGGTGTTGCTCTGTCATAACTGCAGGTGTGTCTTTGCCATTCACACGCTGCAGATGCTTCCATTTATTGGAGGCATTCGGCTCCACTGATTGGGTGCCAAACTAACCTCCTGTCCAGTTAATGCATTAACACTTTAAAATAACATCATGTGAGTAAATCAGTGTTGGTTCACAGAAATTACATAGATCAGCTCTCTGACCCACATTTCAAAATTGAGTCCGTGAGGTCCAAAGAGTTTGGAACTACCTATGAGTTATTCAAGTGATTATTAATTTCATCCATAATATTTAATATTAATCTTCAGGGAAAATGATGACTTAAAGGTGACTTACTAAACTAGTACTCCGTAGACCCAGGCTAATACTCTGGGGTTCGAATCTCACTGCAGTTTGAAAAAATATAAAGCTAGTTTTCATAAAGGTTATCATGACAACTGTCATCAATTGTTTTAAAAGTACATTTCATTCACTAACACCATTAGGAAAGGAAATCTGCCATCCTTACCCAATATGGCAGACATATGACACTAAACCCACAGCACTGTGGTTGACTTTTAACTGTCCTTTTAAATGATATAGTAAATTGTTCAGTTCAAGGGCAATTAGGATTGGGTAATAAATGCCAGGAACATCCATATTCCATAATTTTTTAAAAGGGGGACAGTAAAATCCAGGCACCCTCTGTGATTTCCGTTTGATGGTATTGTGTTCCCGCAAGTTGCCTAAGAGTTTGGAGGCCACACTGTTTAAATTGGATTTATACTAAAGTAACACTGGTCCCCTATTTGTACACAATCTGCATGAATGATAACATTTTAATAATGTTAAATGTAATTGTTGCTTTAAAAAGACACCTGTTGTCAAAGCTTTTTGTCTTGCACTCATCAGGACACTCACAAGAATGCAATGTAAAGGGCAACAATATTTTTTTAATGCAGGGAAACAAGGTGCTGAATTAGTTGACAAGGTCCACAATCAGTATGCTCTTCTCATAATACATTAAAATATTGTCCCAGTTTACATTGGTGATACTTGTGAATGTTTTGGTGAGTACAAGACAAAAAACTTAACCAAAATGTGTCTATTTTTCAGCAATACTCAAGTTCTTTAGTACAGAAAGACTATTACATTCAAGTAATGTTGTACTCTTCTATCACTGATTATTTGTAGAAGAACTGTAAACCATATAAACGATATCTGTTTCCCTTGATTGCTACTTTAATGGAATGTTACCATTTGTTTAGCATGCAGAAATGCAACTAGACACTGATCACTCAAGCAAAAACCAGACAAAAGTGAATTTATAGAATCCCAGTGCTTGGTTCTTCTGGGAATAAATGATAAGGTTGCAATATGGTTTTATCATAGCAGTGACTGCAAGAGTGGATTCCATCATTTCAGCTTGTTCATTTCTGATTCCACACTTTTCATCCTGTTTCTTGTAGTCACTGAACAAGAGACTAAAGTTCCCAAGAAAACCATCATCATGTAAGTTCTTAGTTTCTTCATTACTGCTTATATCAGCTATCATGTTTGACAATCTCATCGCATGCTTGATGACATCATATTGTGCTTTACAAATAATTACTGCTTTCCAATGCATGTCAATGTTTGTCATAATTACAGTTCAGTTGACTCAAGAATTTTTTCTAGAAGCAAATTCTGAGGAGGTAGGGGATGTTGGGCTGGGGGACATGAATGATATAAAGTCAGAAAATTGAGCAGGAGTGGTTTCCTGAATGACCTTCAGAATTTAACTGCAGAGCTTCTTCAAATAAGGTTCCTACCCTAAGTAGCATAATTGACAGACTTGAGTTTTGGATGGAAAGCCTTCTTCGTATGGCAAGTACCTACAAAAGCAGGTGGATATTTTGAAGGAGTTCAAGAAATTATGGTAGGAGGTTCCCAAGCACATTTAGGAGATGTCTGAGTCTCCTACTTGCGATGGAACATGGAATTGTGATCTAGAAAGAATCCATTGGTGGTTAGAAAGAATAGACAGATCGCCGGAGTAGTTGTGGGTATATGCAGGGCTTGTACCATTTTGTGCAAAGTTGTATGTAAACCTCAAACACAACAACCCGTCATTTTCGGTAATTAAGGTTCATGATTTCTATATGCTTCAGAAAGGCAATATCTGAAATACAAAGATATTTCTTAATATTAATTTGATCTCCTGGTAAAGAATAAGAATTAGTTTATTATAAGCAATTTGACTTTACACAATTGCTTCAAGTTTCAAAATTCTGTTACTGTCAAAATTACTTATAGGCAAAATGCTCAGAACTCCATGCTAATGAATGCTAGCTCCTTCCTAACTTCTTGTGTATTTTGAACGTAATTGTTGATGACCATTAAATTTTACGGTTGAAGTGCCAAGTGCAAAACAGTTCAGTTACTATATATTTCATATGAATTTGCTATATATGTGAATCAAAAATTAAACAGCAATATTCTTTCTTGAAATATAATCTGAATTAATAGTTGCACTATTAATTGATTGTAATATGTTAACTGCATAATTTCTCAAAATTTCTCATAATTCCCAAGAATTAATTATTGACAATTATTTTGAAATTTTGTTATAATTGTATACCAATCAGTAATTATTCAGTATTGCTAATAACAAGGTTCATTCAAATGAATTACACTTAATTCTAAAATTCAGCAAATGCTAAAATCAAATAAAACAATAAGTACAATCTTATCGTTATTAAAAATGGTTTCAAATCCATAATCAAATATCAGGATTTATATCATATTTAGAAACTCATGTAGAACATCACCATGCAATTGAAAGATGTATTCAGTTATAATACCAAATAACTTTTTAGTCAAATAAGCTTGTTCATTTTGCATAATATATCATGGATATAAGGTGATAGGAAGTGTTAGTGTATTATAACCTATAACCTCCTATTTCTAGTGTTAACTGTTCTTAATGAATTGTGTTGATGTTGCTTCTTCCATCATTATCACACACGTGTGACAAAGGCTGCACTGGTAGAGGTTGATGTTCTAGCCATGCAAGATAAGTTAGTTAGTTCATAGTAGTTGGGGAAAGAATCTGTGCATTAATTACATTTTTAAAACTATTCAGACCTCCTTTTATATCGTACCTACTGTATTCTCTTTTAAGTTGAAATATTATGTTAAAACAGTAAATTTAAATTACAGCCAAAAGTGTAAGTTACCACTGATCTCATGTCTTCCTGTTTAGGTTGAAGCGAGCATGCCAGCAAATTGCACCTCAAGTAAATAGGTTCAGGTTTCGCTAACAAGCATGTTTTTAATTGCTATATAACATTACTGCAGTGCATTGACATGATATTAAATTTACAGCATCTTATTGGTACTTGCAATTGTTCTGCTCACCAACTAACCAAAAGTCTGTCTGCAGCAGAGCTAATGATGTATTTTGTACAATGTGGACAATGGAATCCTTCTAATGGTTAAATTGTTAAAATATGTTTTCACAATTAGCGAGGAGACTATAACAACAGTAGTCAAGAGCCCAAAGGTTAAACGGCGCACATCTTCAAGTATCTCTCCTGCAAGATCACCAAGACCACAGGAAACAATACCAGAAACATCTTTCTCAACTAGACCCAAGAGGCCAGCTCCCAAAACTCAGCCTGAACCCAAAGAAACACCCATGAAAAAGCCACCCATACCTGCACTTATGATAACAGAACCAGAAGAACAAGGTGCAACTGCAAGGCATATTTTTGTAGAAACTAAGGAACAAGAACAAAAACCAAGCTGGATAGAAGTTGAAGAAGTAATTGAATTCAAAGTTAAGCAAAGTTCGAAACCTGAGAGGAAAAGATCAGCTTCCCCTTCGACCCTCACCTTATCTGAGCAAAGACAGGTCAGACATAGATCTTCAAGCCCAAGATCTAAGCAAACTCTGAGGGCTGACCCTAACATAAACAACTCAAACAATAATCTAGTGGAACAAATGCGATCTTCAGTTTCAGAAGAAAATCTAACAAAAGTAGGTGTTCAGTCTCTTATCTGCAATCCTGAGACTCCCACAGAAATTGAACCTACCACATCAGATGACGTTAATCCTGACTGTATATCAGACTACTTTATGGATGATTCTTATAAAGTATCTGCTGATACTGTGAATGAATGCAATATTAAACCAAACATAACTGAAGATCAGTACAAATCTAATGCACAACTGCTGGAAGTAGAAACACCACTTGTTGCACATGTAGGTGAAACTGTAATGTTAAGTTTTGAAACTCCTGAACCCATGGATGATGAACAGCTAACACTCAGAAATCTATCTGATGTTAAAACAGAACCTACTTTGGCCATTGTGGATCTTCCATTTGATATTTCTGGTGATGAAATGAAGGAATTCAAGCTTGAACATGAAGAAGAAATAGACACAGAAGGTGAATCTGTCATTATTGATGAACCCCCTGAGCCCGGCAGTGATGATCTAGTAAACAGGGACACTAAAATTTTGACATATAATGGCAAGTTATTAACTTTGGAAGACCTTGAAGACTACATTCCTGCCCAAGGAGAAACCTACAAATCTGAGGATTCAGTTGACCAAGATTTTTCGTCAGCCGCTTGTTCCAATGAGCCGTGTGAAATTTCTGTTCTACACGCAGAAATAAACAAACCTACAATTGGCAAACCAGTTTTACTTAATGTTGGGAGACCAGTTGTAACTAAGAGGAAACCAAGTTATTTGCATCAGTTTGGAGATCAGCGACCTGGAGGCATGTTCATGCCAACATCTCGGGTAACGGAAATGCATTCAATGCGGCCATCAAATTTATCAGTACATGTCAGTGGAGCATGTGCTGAATCAGTTACTCACTCCTCAACAGCAATGGAGAAGAAACCACCATTTGAATTAAAAACAAGTTTTTGTACTGAAGTGCAATGTTCTGTGGATAGTCGTCAACCAAGCTATAAAACTGAAGTTTCTACAAGAACACTTAACTACGGAGAAACTGTTACTTTACACATCAATAAGAAAGACCCAATAGAAGACACCAACAAGAGCAGCCATGATAAACTTAAAAAATAATATTATGATGAGGGGACATCTGACCTAGTTTATGATAAAATATAGCAATGGAAGAAATTAAAGTAATTCTAGTCTTAAGGGAGAACAGTTTAGAGAAGGGACTTCTAATAAAATTCAATAAAATAATTGGACTTCCAAATTTATAATCAATGTAAATGTATTGTTATTAGTTTACTTCAAATCTTGTGGTCCTCTTCATGATATTAGTTCTCCAAAGAATATAACTAAAAATTATTCCAATGTTCTCTCTTTAGTTGGGACTTGCAATCACTGCATAAGAGACTGGTCAGACTGGCAGGATACTTCGTATCACTAAGTGTGTTATCATCACTGAGTTCTTGATTTCATGATGAATTAACAAAAATTCTGGAGTACACAGAGATTGTGACACCATCATGCAACATATGATGTGTTAAAACACCTAATTTTAAAAAATAGAAATTACCTTGTGTTTTCAAAAGAAAATCACAATGAATCATTCTGCATGTCATAACTATCACTGGATTTTTTTTATTTTGAAAATATTGGTCTGATTTTGCCGATTTGGCAGATCATTTTTGCTGAAATTGACAACAGACAATCTTGTTGATTAATTGCTAAATCTAACCATGAGAAAAATCTTAGAGCATGTAGAACTCAATTTTGTGTTTTTGCTGCAGTTTCATCTCAATTCTACCTGTGCTATTGAGAACACTTTTTATCAGTTGCGTAACAGAAATATGCTAAGGGTTTTTAATGTGCAATCATCTTTGAATAATTTACTCAGGCTACGAGGCAGACATGCACTATTTCTGCTGAAATTGTTTGTCACAGGACCTCCAGATAATGTATTTGTTGTCCCCAACCTTTCAAGAAAGGGGTAAATAAAGGAGAGAAGATTATCAACGTATAGAGATATTAGATAATGGAGAATTAATGTGGTATGGCAAGCTTTAGTTAACAAAGAACATTTGTATGCTTGTCTGTGGCCTTTGGACTTGTGTGTCATGCGCAAATTATTTAGCTGTTTTCCAAAATAAATGTCACTTTGCATACTGTAGAAAATTTGGTCCCAAAACCGAAGTCATCTTCTACACAATACAATTTTATTACTTTCTTCCAATATATTTTAGAGAATGGGAAGTGTGTTCCGAACTTGAATTTTGTACACTAAAAATCGGTCCATCTGTTCAGTTATCAACATGCATCTTCCACAATATTATCTGAATGACACATAATATTAGTACTTCTTTAGAAGACATTTAATTTTATGATAAAGAAGATTCTGTTGTTTCTATTTGCAATATTTAATGGAAGAATTGAAGAAAGTAGTTTAAGTGTTAGTTGGAAGTGTTAGTTTGCTGACTCTTTTTAAAACATATTATCAAGCCATCAAATCTACTAAAAAAAAATCAGTTCTTTGTTAAGTTGCAGAAGTGACATATCAAAGGCTGTAATATTTAAATTTATTTTAATTATATGTTAACTATTCCAAAACCAAAGATGAGTTTTTGATGTGTTTGTTTACTTACCTACTTTGCAGTTGAGATTTATTTAGGTACTCCTGATACTGTTCCATTTGAATTAAGAACTAACTGTGGTGATTCAACAAAATGACTTCTCCAGTCAGATAGATAGTTTTTAAGAATATTGGATTGGGATGTTTCAGTTGAGTTTATAGGTTCTTCTACGTATGTGAATTAAGTGCAGAATGTTCAGGACGTTTTGTTATGTGTGTTCTCCTTGCTGTAGTCTGTTTAAAGGACGTGAGGTGATGTGTATTAGAACAGATGCATTTTGCTTTTGGGCCACGAGAAGACTTGTCATTTTGATGCAACATGAAAGCTAATTAATTCAGAAAGTACGAGCTTTGAGGTGGTGAGCTCCAGTATAGAGATTGCTATATTAAACTTTATTGCACGCCAACATTTGTGAATCTTGAAACAATCAAAAAATAAAAAGGTTCTTTTAAGAAGAACCTACTACAGCAATGACAGTAGTGCATCTTGAAAGAAAAAGGTTGTGCAATTTACATTATCTTTGACAAACTAGTATCTTCAAATATATTGAGTAATGTATCTTGTACAGTCTGTGTTCAAAAAAAAGCCTAAAATGTTTGATGCATACTTGTATGTTTTGTAAGGGGATAATATATTTTTAGATATATATAGTGTATAAAAATTCAAAGTGTGTCTCTTGATTTCTGCGTGGCATTTTGAACCCCTTAATAAAGTCTAGTTTCAGCAATAAACTTGTCATGTTAGTTAACTTTCATGAAATAAAATATATATTATCTGTAGAAATGACTTGAGAAGAACACTCCAAGCCAAAAGCTAAATGTGCAAGTTAATAGTTTCATTTGAAATGAAACAGAAAGAAATTTGAGTTTAGATTATCTGTATAAATGAGACTTCGCCAAAGTGCATGCAGTGTTGTTATTAACAAATGTAGAAACCATATATATGACTTTTTTTAGACAGAGCTTGTCAGGCACAAAAGAAAGTAGTCAGGTACTAGGTCCTCCCATGGACAAGTTTCATCAGGGCAGGAGTAGATGATTCCCTTGCAACCTATCCGATTCTATGATGAGGCCAATTAGAGTATTTAAAGAGCTCTTTTATGTCCACTTTCACATGTTGTTGGGGCCTGGTGGGTTGCACATGGAGTCAGAGAAGACCAAGTGACATGGATACAGCAACACAGCAGGGACCTAGTCTAGGCCACATCATCAATTTAAAAAAACTCATAAAAGGGAGCAAGGCTGAGAGGGCATCAGCTTCTAGCACACAGGTGCAATAGAGTACTCACAGGTTGTGGGGAGAGTGATTTTTTACATTCTCAGACCATACAGTTGTTGAGTCATTAGCCTCTTGACTTTGAGGAAGACATTGTTTCTATATGTTATTGTGGGGTCCAGCTGAGCACATGGAAGGCAATAGCTGGCAATCGGAGTACAGCACTCAGATTTTTGGTCTAACAGTGATGAAGATCAAAACTTCCAAGGAAAAGGCACAGGCCCAGATACATGGAGGGCACCAGCGAAGGAAGAGGTGCAGAAAGTCAAGGATACTCACAATATCGGACCAAGGGCTAAAGACAGAGATACGTGGACATGTTGAAGAACCAGGGGTGCAGCAGATTATGCGTGTCCGGGCAGGCTTTTGATTTGTGAGCTTATAAATGGAAGAGTTTGTAACTCATAAAGCATACTTGCCATGACTTTTAACCAGCCTTTGAATGATATAGACGCTTCTCAATTCAGAGCAGTCAGGGATGAGCAACAAATGTTGACCTGGCCAAAATTAACCACATCCTGTGAAAGAATAAAAAAAATCAATCACATTACTATGGGTCTGGAGTCATATGTCAGCCAAACTAAGTAAGGATGGAAGATTTCCTTCTGTGAAACATATTGATCAACCAAAGGGATAAGTCTTTATAACAATCGACAATGGTGTCATGGTCATGAGTCAACTTTTTAATTTCAATTTATGTCAGGTTTGCCTGGATCTCTGGATTACTAGTCAAGTGACAATACGATTATGCCATCGCATGAAATAGGTCTGGTGGCTAGTCAACACTTCCTAGCATCCAAAACTGTCCCTCATATTTTGGGAGGGCGAGCATGGAATCAATAACCCATGAATGTGCCCACACCATAATATGGTTAGCCTAGGCATGCAGTCTGGAGTGGGCAGCCTGTGTTTTGTTTTCTACTGGAGCAGGAAGGAAAGAGGGTGTGATCTTTGGGGGTGCCATTTGCTCAGCAGCGTGATCCCCCAGAAAATAGTTTCCCTCTTCATTCTTCCCTTTGGACTTTAAACCAATGCCTCTGTCCACCTCATTCCCCACCTGAAATGCTCAAACCCTCTTATTAATGCCCCCTACTTCTGGGGTCCAAGATCCATTGGAGCCTTCATCCTTACTGGCATGCCCACTCCCGAACACTTTGTTTTTCGCAGGTCTGTTGGAGTCACTGGCTGGCAGTTCCAGAAGGTAAGACATCTTCCCAGTGAGAGCAGAAATCATACTGTTCACCAATTTAGCCTGCACACATTCCATTATGTTCATGGGGACAGCTCATTAATCTGTCAGCTTGTTACTGATCTTCCACCCAGAAATAGGAGTAGTCATTTCCCACCACCACCACACACACACAAACAACAACAACAAAATTCTGTCCACATCTGCATAAGTGTCTACATTTGGAAGCTGCAATATATCAAGGAGAAGGAAAGTTACTGCAACACTTTGCACAGTCACAGTCCTTGGGCTAGTTACTTTAGATTCACTTGTTCAGGGATGGGAGGGTGTGGCTTCAAGTGAGGCTGGTATGAGAATCCAGACAGTAGCAATGAAAAAGCCTCAGCTTTTCAATTGTCCAACATGTTTGGGCGTTCTTGTATATTGCATGGAGAAGAGGAGGGACTAGAGGGAAGATGAGCTAACAGGCCATGGCTTTGGTGCAGGGAACTGTTCAGGATGGTAGGGAAGGATTTAAAAGAAATATAATTGTCATAGAGAATGGCATAACTAGGAGATAAACACTATTCACTTTAGCAAAGAATGTCAGTCCCAAGGCAGTGTTGCCTGTCTAGTGCCAGGGTTAAGGTCATCTCCTCAGGGCCTAAGAGGAATTTGGAGTGGGTGAAGAAAAATCCAATTGTCGTGCTCCACATGGGTACCATAGGAAGGACTAAGAAAGAGGCACTGCTAAGGGAGTATAAGAAGCCAGAGACAAAGTTACAAATGAGAGTTACAAAGGTAATAATATCTGATTTACTACCTTAGCTTCAAGCAAATTGACATAGGGTATTTGTGATTAGAGAGTTAAGGCATGGCTCAAAACTTGATGTAGGAGAAATGCGATTCAATTCATGGACCATTGCCACCAGCACTGGGAGAAGCAAGAGGTATACCACTGGGACAGTCTTCATCTGAACCGGACTAGGGACACTGTACTGGCAAATCCTATAAATAGGGCTGTAGAAAGCACTAACCTAAATTATGGGTGGAGATGG